CGAATTGTTTGTTATGTTACTATTTCAAAAATAACTGATTAATTAGCAATAAAAATTTTGTAATTGATAAAATCATATATATAATGCTGATAATCTGAAAGTGGTTGGTTGGTTGTGCTGGCATTTTTAATATATCCACAGCTGAAACGAAAGTAGACACAAAGTACAAGAAGTTATATTAAAATTAGGCAAAATATTGCCGAATCGTCGTTCTGAATTCTGTTGACGATGTCATATCGTAAAACATCGCATTTTAAAGTTCCCGATTGTGTTTTATTTAATAAATGAGGTAGAACAATTGAGCTGGCGATACTCATTTTCATTGGAACATCAAATATAACATTATATTGTGAGCATTCGATCTTCTCGTCACAAGCCCTATTTGTCATCGCTTGCAGAAACTTAAAGCCGTTTGACCATATTAAAGTTTTCTTTTTTTCCATCCAACTTGATATCAAGCTTCCAATGTCCTGGTTTGCACGTTCTACTGAATCCTGAGAGTCGTTGTGCCTGGGTTTTCCATAAACTATTTTTATATCAGCTAACATTCCACATAAACACTGGATAACATGGTTAGAACACACTCTAGCATTGTCAAAATGAAGAATATTTGGTAAGCTGAAAGTTGTGAAAATATCAAAAAGATGATATATAACTTTCTCAGCCCGTTTTGATTTTAATACTTGGAGAAATGCAAATTATGTCAAATGATCCTGGTATACCAATAAGAACCTGGACCATCGTCTGAATTGGCTTTCATATCAATTAAGTGACTCTGGTATACTGAATTTATTTTTTTCTGTAGGATGGGTTAACTGCGACAGAAACATGATAAAGAATTTCTCCTTTTCCAGCAGACAATAATTCTATTAGTTTCACTCCACCCCACCCAAAGTTGAGAACATTACACCTCTTCGAACGTCTATAGTAGACAAATACCATGTGTTTTTACTGACAACGTTTTTAGTATTCTTCACTTCACTTAAGGTGTGTTTCAAATTTATACGGACACGGAAAAATTAAAGTTAAACCCAAATTTGCTGCATTAAGTGACAAATGTTTTATTAAAAATAACATGGATTTACACGTTCCCACACTGCAAAATAAGAATTTTAATTAAACATTAACATTTTGTCACTGAAAATAATATTTTTGAAAATTTTGTACAAAAAAACTGTTTCATATTTATCCGGACAGGTTTCAAATAGCAAAGTTTTCTTACAATTTAACGGCTAATGTAACCACCATTTAATTTACTTACATTAAATACTCGATTAGTCATTATTTTAATTAGATTCTGAATGAATTCAATCTTATGTTTATCCCAAGCATTTGAAATTCATGCGTTCGAATCATGAATTGTGAAAAACTGCTTTCCGTTGGCATAAACTGTACGAACCATCATCCCCAAAGATTTTCCATCGGATTCAGGTCAGGGCTTCTAGCAGGCCATGACATCAGATTAGTATTTTTACGTTTAAACCACATTTTTGTTCATTTAAAGTAGGGGGTCCTCAAACTTTATATCCTGTCGACCCCTTTATAAAATATTTGCTTTGTTATCGACCCCCAGATTATGTGTTTAACGAAAACATTAAATCATTTTTGCATTTCTGATGTTAAGCGATAAGAAGACCTGCATAACAACCCAACAAAAAATTTATAGTTACCATTTCTTATAAAATCTACCCAATAACATTAACAGAAAAAGATATTTTCCACTAATTTATAATCTTAAAAAATAATAGCAAAATTATAGATAGATGAAAATTTGCCTATAGTTCTTAATCCGTACGTGTCATAATACGTAAAATACACAATTATTTTTGAAAAAATAACAGAGGTTTTTTTTCATCCAATATAACTTGTCATTTTGCGACCACTACTGAATGCCTTAAAAATATGTTAACATACCTTTTTATTAAAATAGTTCATATTAGTGGGATGATGTCTCTGAAGAGAAGCAGCAAGATTATTGATATTTGGTTAAAAATTGGTATTAGTCGCAAATCACCACGGTTTTCCAAGTTCAGTCTGTTTGACTGTTTTGTCAAAATTGCGTTCGCGTGGCTAAAATCAGCTTCAACCATGTATGAAGTAGGAATGCAAGTAAGAAAGGTTCGGCTTCTGCTCTGAGCTTGAGATATTTAGTGGCAATATTGTTATTGCTCCAAAATTCACTGAGGTTTTTTATTTTTAAACAACGCCTTAGCTTCGAGATCTACACATATTTCAATCAGTACATCTTCTAACCCAGGTTCACTACCTTCATTATCTATTTTTACATCAAATGGAATAGCAAACCATTCGGAAACATGCATATTCTTCAAGTCTTCGAAACGTGCTCTAAAGTCCTCTCTTAATTTATTATGTTGTTTAATATATATCTCCAAATCATGGTAAAAAATGTTTTTATTTTTTTCTTTCGTCTCCTCCCCGGTTCATATGGAGATTGTATTTTCATTTTCATTTAATACTCGCAAGTTTAAAAAATATTTAAAATCGGATCGTGCCAGCGAAGATTTAAATAGCTCCATTTTTACTTGAAAGGCCATTATGATTGTTCGAGCTTGTACAATTGTAACGTTTTTTTCTTGCAAACGCTTCTGTACTATATTAATGATCTTCGTTATATTACGATATTTTCTCTGTAAAAGACAAAATATCTACATTTAGATAGAAAATACTAGAGTGACAACCCTACTAGAATGTAACTGTGCAACGTATGTCTCTGTATAATGAACTACCAGCGTTCATAACATGTTTGTAACACTAGTACAGTTGCCAGATGCGTGAAAACAGAGTAGCACATGCTTAAAGCGGCGTAGGCTAAGGCAAAACTCAAGTAATAACTAGGGTAGTCAGTAGTGATGTAACGAATATTCGGTTACTATTCGGTATTCGGCCTATTCGGCCTATTTTTCACTATTCGGCCGAATACCGAATATTTAATCACTATTCGGCCGAATACCGAATACCTAAAAACAGGAGTTATAAACAACAAAAACACAGTAAATTAATCATTTTGGTATTTAGAGTTAATGTTATAGAATTAGTGTTGTTTGTTTATATTTATTTATAACTTGTAACATGCGCAAAATAAAAAAGAAAATAATAATAGTCACATGTATTCACAATTTATAATTACAAAGATCAGCACACGTACACGTCTATCGTTGGAGAATCCTCGCACATATGAGGGTCTGGACCCTGCCTATCATTTTTTTTAAGCGCTCGTCTTTGCTCTTCCCTTCCTCTTTCCTCTATCGCTCTAATCCGCGTATGCTTGTGCATACATCACAATACGTGCTCACGATACTTTCGATACGTCACTTTTCCGTCGTACAGTTCCCATTTTACAATTACGTGACTCAGCCTGGTGATAACGGAGAAAAGAGACAGATAGGACGTCGGTATAAGTCACAGTTATGATTTCACAGACTCGAGACAGCTTGATAGCCCGAACGGTCCCAGGCTTTCGCCCTTGCACGCTAAGTGACTTTCATTACAAGCATTTAGCTTTTCGAAGTCTATGACAACAATTGTTTGGCATTGACAGCCGCGAATTTCGTGCCAATAAGCTGCTTCGACTTGTTCGATTATGTTATCGACTCAATTTCATATTTATTTTCACATTTTCACTTCGCGGTCCTTCTCTGTTCTTTCTCCGTTATTTACACGTGTAGGACATTTCATTGTTATCCACATTTGATATCATCACTTATCACATACTGCCATGAAGCTCATGTCTGTCCGCTTCAACTGCCAAGAATTAACGCGATTGGCGAAGCGTAGTGACAGCGGGACAATAGAGAGCAAGGTCCTTGCCATAATGCGGTTTGCGCGCCAATTTCCGTACGTGCGATAATCGAGCCGAATAGTTTGGCCGAATATTCGGCTATTCGGCCACGCTCCTGGCCGAATATTCGGTATTCGGCCTGAGGCCGAATATACTATTCGTTACAACACTAGTAGTCAGTAATGTTGATCGTATTTGACCGTATTTCGAATTTTTATTGAAATACTCTATATTTTTCCTAGACAGTTTATTTGAACTTCTTTGGTATTAATCGACCCTCTTTCGACCCGCGTATATTAATTTACTCTTGGAGAAATCTTATCGACCCCAAGGAGTCGATATCGATCACTTTGGGGACCCCTAATTTAATGGCATGCACTAGGGCATTCTCTTCTTGAAAGGTCCAATTTGGTCCAGCTTCCAATAAATGATCTTCAAGCATGCCTCGATACTTCTCTGAATTCATTCTCTGAGTTATAAATGCTAAATCTGTGGTTCCATTGAATCCAAACGTACCCCACACTATTAGTGATTTCCATTCATTTGGCATTTTGAAAATATTTGTTTTTCGGTTCTAAAATCGTGCCAATAATACTTTCAACTGTCTGGACTATCTAAGGTGATTTGTGTTTCATCACTGAACAAAACGTCAATCCATTCTTTGGACTGTCGTGTTTTTGTGCTCAATCAAGCTTGTCACTTTTGTGCTTTAATGAAAGTGGTGGCATTACCGCTCTTTTTTCTTTGAATTTTAACGTTGGAGATTTATTTAAAACTCTTCACACTGTTGTGCTGCTACAAGGAAAGTTTAATTTTTGTTTTATTTTTCTTACTGATGTTTGTTTTGTGTAGCAAACCTCGATGATTTGTCTTCAATCTCGAGGTATAAGCTTGGGTTTTGGACGTGTCTTGAATTTTGGTACATCCTAGCCACGTCTTTTTGATAAATAATCACCAACAGTTGATTCTGGACGATTTATATATGCTCCAATTTCTCTTATTGGCTTGCCTTGTGATTTATAGGCATCAATCTGCCCTTTTTCATAATCAGATAAATTCTTTGTTCTACCCATTTTAGAACGTTGAACAACATAAAGAATTTGTATTACGATCAGATATGTAAGCTGATTTGCATATTTAAATGCTTGAAACTAAACAATATTTTATTTAAGTCATGAAATGAGTGCCTATCCTGATAAATTCAAATTCTTGGCGGCAAGCTCAATAGCAAGCCTTTTTGTTCGAGGCCAACACATCTGTATAAGTAGTGGTATAGGCCATCAACCTTCCCGCAGATGGCGCAGAGAGGGGTGTGTTTATTAGTAAACCTATGCAGGAAGCTGGAAAACTTGCCGTGGCCACTGATGAATCGAGTGATGTCTGGATCGATGGGATACCAATGCTTGTTACAGTTGTAGTGCTTCAGGATGTCTGGAATAAAGTTTAAGGTGGAATTGCTATGGTTGTGGCACCAAAAATTTTGCCATCGTAGTAGTAGATCGTTGCAGAGTATGTTTTTGATTTTAGGAAGACTCAGCTTGCAATATATAGGCTGGAGGGAGTTGTCGTTGGCGGCAGTCTTAGCTAGTTGGTCTGCTCGTTCATTTTCGATGGTTCCTTGGTGTCCACGGGTCCAGCTAATAAAGTAGTGGTTGTTCGAGTTAAGAGCAGATTTCTTAATTGCGGTGGCAATAAGATGAGGCTTGTTACTGTTGATGACGTCAATAGCAGACTGGCAGTCTGTGTAGATTGAGATGCTCTGTTGGTTGTAATTTTCTTCGGCCCAGTTTATGGCCATGTGGATTGCGTTTAGCTCGGCTTGGAAAATCGTGCAAAGGCTGTCCAGCCAAAATCCTTGATGATAAATTTCCTGATTATTTTTGTAGGTGGCGAAGGCGCAGCCTATGTTGTTGTTAATCCCAGAGCCGTCGGTGTAGATCTTCAAGTCGGGTTCGGTAGGAAAATTTGTGTTGATATGATCGTTGATGTAGGGAGCGGTAAGGTCAGCAACTGGGCTCATTTTTTCGTAACTTGTGGCTGGTATGTCATAGTTGATGGTGCTGATGCTGTGACCCGTCTTGAGTCTCCAGAGCTCATACTTTGCGTTGATAATATCTGTTATACGTGGTTTCTTAGTGATAACTTGTAAACTACTGTTTGGTGTGGTACGAAATGCTCTCCAGATTAGTATGAGACCTTTTCGTTGTGAAGATATTAGCTTCCTGTGGGGGTGCATCTTCTTGGCCGCCCAGCCCCAGCTGCCACACGCGTATGCAATGATAGGCGTGTATATATAGTCATAGATGATACTCATTGCATTGGAGTTTAGGCCCCATTTCCTGCGGGCTATCTGAGAGAACGCCTGGAAGATCATGTTGGTTCTGTTGGCAGTATATTTAATGTGGTTGTCTCAACTCAGTCGATAGTCCAGCCATATGCCAAGATACTTTATGATCTTTTCCACTTTAATTGAGTGGTTGTTCATGCGTATTGTAGGAGTACGAAGGTATAGGTTAGGTCCACCAGGCTTATTAAAAACCACACACTTTGTCTTATTGGGGTTGAATTGAATCTTACGCTGTGTACCCCACTCATGGATCTTGGCTAGAGTCTTGTTACCCCTTTTTTCTAGAGCCGCTCGAAAATTTCCTCCTATAGGGATAAGGACGTCATCAGCATATGCTGTGATATTGTCCTGTCCGAAATTTTCCTGTAGAAAAGTGTCAAAAAGGAGGTTCCACAGGAGCGGTCTGCAGACTGATCCCTGTGGGCACCCATGGACGATGTTCCTTTCTGTGTGTTGTGTCCCTTGTTGGAGGTAGGCCTTCCGTTCATGTAAGTAGTTTTTGAGTAGATAGTAAAGATTAGCAGGACAGTTGATTTGCTTTAATTGGAAAAGGATGAGGGGCCACCAGGCTGAGTCAAACGCTTTGGAAATGTCTAGACTGGCGGCCAAAACATATTTATAGGTGTCTAGAAGGCGTTTGATGTTCTCGGTGGCATGGTGGATGGCGTCACAGGAGGAACATTGCTGTCGGAAGCCATACTGTGCTTCACTGAGGATGAAGTTCGATTCTATGTACCAAGTTAGTCAATTAGTAATGAGCCGCTCCAAGACTTTCCCAAAGACAGGGAGTAGCGAAATTGGGCTGGCTTCGTTGGGCCTCCCTGGTTTTGGGACAGGAATGATTTTGGCTATTTCCTCATTTAGCTGGAAAAGTAGCGGTTTGGAGACAGCTGTTGTACATGTTGGTAATTTGCCCAGGGATCAGCCTCCAAATGGCCTTTGCCAGTTTACTATTAATGCCGTCGATGCCTGGCGCTTTATTATTGCTCAGGCTCAAAAAGGCTTGATTGATTTCATGATGGTCGAAATTTGGGGAGTTATCGGTGTGAATTGCGGCATGCATTTCATTTCGAATATGGTGATGCCAGGGGAAATTGTTATCCAGACTGTCACTGATGCAGAAAGAATTCATTTCGTTTTCAAGTGTGTCAAAGTAGTTGCTGCTTGTTGACTCGGCATTGTTGTTAACTAAAATATGTGTTTTCCTGAGTCTGTTTGTGCAGAGCTTCATAAGGTAGTCCCAGGGATTGGCTGAGGCGACCGTGCAAAACTGTCTCCAGGATTGGATTTTTGCTTCTTTGATCTCTTGTTTATAGGTGCGTTGATGACTAAGGTAAAGATGTTTAAGATTTGAATGGTCAGATTCGATGCTACAATTTTGAAAATTTTTTCTTAGCCTGTTGTTGATTTTACGAAGTTGGGTAAGTTTGTTGGTCCACCAAGGGACAGAGCGATGCCAAGGAGAGTTTTTTGGAATATGGCGGTTACAGGCTTCTTGAATAACGTTGATATTGTGATCGAGTGCGATGCGTGCACTGTCCCTGTTGTTGAGACTACAGTTGATTATGTTAGAGTTGAGAAAATTTCGAATATCAGTCCAGTTTGCTTAGGCTAGGTTGAAGTTAATTTTGGGAAAGGAGGGTGTTTGTGATGTAATTATGATTCAGTAGTTGGAAGGAAATATAAGCGTGATCGCTTAAGCTGCGATCACTGAGAACCCTCCAGTCATCGAAATCGGTAAAGCAGTTCAAACTGCAGGCCGTCACGGCTATCTAGGTCTCGCCATACACAGAGATGTAGGTAGGTTGAGAGAAGGGGTTATTCAGCAACTGGAGACTGTTCTGGGCAATGAGCTTTTCAAAACACTTGCTGCGTTGGTCTAAGTCAGTTATTCTCAAACTTTTTCGATCCACCGCCCCCTTTGTTCCATAAAGTTATACCCAACGCCCCCTAACTCATTTTCTCTTGTGTGAGAAAAGGATTAGAAATATTGTTAGGAAAACTTTTCTCTGAATCTCACACTTTGTGCCATTACTGTACATTGTTCTCATCATCTGGAAACCATTAAACGCAATGTTTCCTCTTATCAGCCCCAATTTTGCCTTTGGTCACCGTTCAATACCCTGCCTCCAGTGCCCCCTAGATTTATTCATCGCCCAGAAGGAGGCGTTATTGCTTACTTTGAGAATCGCTGAGCTAAAATAAAAGTCAATGTGTCAGAAATATTGAAGTTGTGACCTTTAATAAAAAATAAAAAGTATATAAAATGTCAACATTTTATATATATTCCATTGAATTTTTATATACAGAATTTGTCTGCCGTCTCCCCTCTATATTTGCTTAACGCCCCCCAATTTTCTTTGAGCCTTCTACTGCCCCCTGAAAGCTTCCAGCGCCCACAAGGGGGCGTTATCGCCCACTTTGAGAAACGCTGGTCTAAGTTATCGCCTCCCCAGGTAGGCAAGTGTGCATTGATGTCACCGGCAAGTATTATTTTAGCATTGGTAAAATTATTGATAACGGCTTGGATGTTGTTGGTGGTTTGTTCTACATTGGCCTCTCTGGGACAGTAAACATTGATGAATATATACCTGTTGTCATTGTAAATTGGTTTATTGCAGACAATATGTTCGTTGGAAAGATTTCTGTGATGTAGAATAGACAGGTTGGGGTTTGTAATAATGGTGATGGCCCAGGGGTAAGCGTCAGTGCCCCTGAGCACAGTGCAGAAAGTTGGAAGGCAGGCAGTATGGTCATAAAGACAGTATGGCTCCTGAAGAAAGATTATGTCATACTTGTAGCATTTGGTAGCTAGGAGGGAGGTGGCAAAAATGCCTCTCCCTACGTTGACCTGTAGTAAACTAGTATTATTGGGATTATGATCCATAGTCGGTTCTTTCAATTATAGTATTCTTCACGCGTAGATACACTGGGCAGGAGCCGTCCCGAGCGTTATGGGTTGTCTGATTGGCTTTATCTTGGTGGCAGTTGGTGCATTTCGGAGTCACATTACGGTTAGGACATTCCCTGTAGGTGTGTCCAGCCATACAGTGGCTACAGGTTGGAGTTTCCTTTGCACAATTTTTTGTAGAGTGACAAAATCCACAACATCTGTAGCATTGTAATGTTGGAACAAAGTCAGCAACTCTACAACGAGACCAATTGAGGTTTAATTTTTCAATAACAAGGAGCTGCCGTCTTAGTTGGGGAGCTACCTCCACAACCCAGTTGCAATATTGTCCTTCACGTTTGCCAGAGTTGAACTTGATATTAAATTTTTCACTGAAGTCTTCTTCATTGTAGCTTTATTTAGTATTTCGTTCTGTTCGTAGGCCATCTTAATTAGATCCTCTCTAGCAATTAGTTTATGAACAGAGAATATAATTATGTGCGGCCTTCTCTTTTTTGGTCTTTCAGTCTGTAGATTGAGGATGTTTTCATGAATGGTTTTTTCGAACTTTTCGACATCCTCTTGACTGTTTAGATCTATAGCAACTCCACCAGATCCAATACGACGTATGCGATTAACTCCTATTCCAAGTTTAGATGGTTGGATATTCTGTTGCAAAGTCTTCCAGGTTTGATCGCTGTTATCATCTTCTTTGTTGTAGATAAGGAGGACTTCTTTGCCCTGACTTGTAGCCTTCGTCTTTTGTGAGGAGGTGACGTTTATGCCAGATCTAAGTACAGTGCTATAGGAAGAAGGAATGGGATCCACATTGCGACTATTTTCCTGTTTGAGATCGGCAACTATTTCTTTTGTTTTGTCTTCTGTTGCAGTCATAATCTGTTGCAAATCTTCCTTAGTGGGCAAGAGTGCTAATTTTTTTTCGATTGCCTCGGTTATTGTTTGCTCACGTAGGGTTGCCTCAGCCATGCTGATTACTTTAGCAAACCTTTCAGTCAAATATTTCATGTGATGAGGCTTATTTAGACGCCCAGTTGGGTTGTTGTTGCAGTAGTACTTTACCTCATCAAGTGAGGCAAGAAAATTATCAAGAAATTTATTTATGGCGTCGCTTTCCATGCCAAATGTGTTAACCATGTGTAGAGGTAGAAGAATGTTTGAAATAAGAGTCGTTGTAAAAATAACAAAAAAGTGGCACGACGCACAAAATGCAGGTGTTCATGCAAGTGTCGACGCACTAAATGCAAAAAGAAATCAAACGTCGCGAAAAGCAACACGACAAACAGCTAGCTCCCGCCAAGTGGCTAACACGACCACGTGGTGGCAACAACCTTTGTGTATGGTGAATAATTTAAACCGAAAATTCTCGCGAACCGTTTGAAAGAACAAAACCAAATTTATACAGCATTTTACATATACCTTGATCCAGTGTTTCCCAAACTTTTTTAGGCCATGCCCCACTTTAACATTTCTAAAATCATCATGTCCCCCCATACATAATTTTAGTTATAAAATTTATTTTTGTTCTTTTTAGTAATATGAATGATAATTTTAAAGC